TAATGTTTTGGCACATTACGATCATGAGGATTGTCGCAGATCTACCGATGCTGTTGCTAACATTCCACATGTTAATTACAACGCAATGTCATTACCAATTTCATATCTGTATAGTGAGCCGACTAATGACGCGTGGGACATAGGAAGACGCGAGCGTAGAGAGGAAACAATGCGTGTTAGTGGTACTACTTAAAATCTTTATCGATTCCTCAGCTCACGATTGTCATTAAATTCCCCATGAAATAAAAAATAACAGCGAAGGTCGACTGATGAGTTGAAGGAACAACATCCCGAGAAAATCTATCGAGCGGGTACGTCACCAAGCATATAAATGAGTTGTGATGTCAGCAAGTTGCAAACAGTCGACTACTACCTCGTTATGAAGTCTACATTCACTAGCGCTTGGTCATCCTACGATAACACAGATATAGCAAGGTCAAGTGACGCTATTAGAAAATGCTAAGCAACTTTTTTACATTAATTGCAGGTAAGAACAAGCGTATTACGAAATCCTTTCACAAAACGGAATCGTTGCACGCATACTAGAGCGAACATACTCCGTCTGTGAGCGTGGAGGTAAACGGAGCTCTGTTACATATTCCTTTACAGTAAGCTCAGTTTACACATTTTTCAAGACCAGGCCTTAAACTATACAAAGATGATTGGCAATTACTTCGTTGCAAATAATCTAAACTTCGTTGTGCATTTTCTTTCCACATCATGGCAGCAAGCTGATAAGTAACGTCTCGAGAGTCTCCAGACCAAATTTTAATGCTATGGAAAAATTTCACTTTCCTCAGAGGGATCATGTCGCCTTAATTGATATAGAATCTTATGTATAGGGAACAAAGTTTGGCCTAAAAAAAAGCCAAATATAAAAATTGTCTGTCGTCTACCTTAATCATATACTTCATAAAATCATTCAATTGCGATGAGCTTAATGATTTTAGGCTATGGAAGGCAACCAGGATAAAATATGAGGGTGACGATTAATATGCAAGAATATTGTATGGCTTCATGAAAATAGTTAAGGTGTTCAATCAAAAAAAAATTATAACAATGAAAAAACTTTAAGATAGACATTGGACAATATATTTTACTTACAATTTGTCGACAACGTGTGGATATATATAGACAACATCGTTGCATAATACATTTCATTTATAATAAGTTTAATTATTTTAATGATAAAGGTTGGTGAGTGATAAACACCGATTCAGACCGAGGTGTAAATAACCGCCCCTTTTTTAAATATTTTTATCAAGTAAGCGACGTGTAGTGTACGACAAAACAACGCTTATGTAGTGTCAACACTTATTGCATGAATTGAGTTTACAAAACACCTTGGCGCTTGTATAAGTAATAAACACTATCTGATAAGGCTAAATGAATATTCACTAAACTAATTACTTCTGCAAATTATCAAAAGGAAATATTTTAACGCCGCAACCTTGTTGTTACGTCGCCAAAAATTTCTATATTAGGCAAAATAAACTGGAACTGTATTAACTAGCCACTTCTCTCTGATTTATCACCGACGAGGCGATTCCGATAAAATACAATCGTTCGTATCGTTAGCTCATTAATAGAGGTCAATCACTTATAATAGCATAGTGTCCACGCGCGCTTTAAATGAAAAATCTTTAGATTTTAAAAAGGTAGCTAGTTTATCTTTTGATCAAGTAACGAAAACGGTAGTGAGCAGACAGATGGCAGCACATTGCACACTAGAAATTGTGCATAAGACGTGTAACGTACACACAAAACTAATCCACAACATGCTAGATTTATAGGATCATAATCAGGTCGCGCTGCCCCATCGTTTAATCCGTGTTATTATAAGCCGCACCACAATGCACCTACAGTGCACCCCAACGAACCAATCTTTAACATTTTGTGCTGATAAGTAGATCTTTATAAATGATCACTATCAAGATCACGCCGTCTTTCCAGAGAGCAAATCAGTCAGTAGGCAGCTTAAACTTCGTATATACAGCCATACTTGCAAGCATTTGGTCATCGTTTACAAAGCACTTTTATGGCGAATCAAGGCCAAATCCTACTACTTTTACGGTATAATTTCGTCATATAATGATCTAATTGTTCATCCGCAAAAAATAGTGCGTGCCAGAAGATTAATCATATCCGCGCACCTTGAGTATTAATAACGGATCCATTGTAGAACTCAATTCTCATTGCCATGCCCCTTTACACTACAAATGGCGTGTACGAGATGTTATAAGCATTTTAAACGAAGTAAAAATTAATAGCACGCCATGCCATGGCCTTAAATAAATTATTGTGGCGAACAGATCTTCTTTCATATACCTAGCTAGTTGGTAGTCTCATCATCGTTTTTTTTCTTCCTGAACATACCTTAACATGGAGCATTTGAAAACTTCCGTGATTTTAATCTTAAGTAATTTTTCTTTTTGTCTTAGGCCTCCGCATTCACGATAGATACGCTGCATGTAATTACCGAACTGATCCAACTTCGTCGAGGATCTAAATACTGCAAAAAAGTGAGCGCAGGACGGATTCTGGCAGTTCCGGTCAAAAAAAAATTCGAATGGCTATACGATACTACAAAGGAAATCAAAATATGCTTTTTGTGATAAAAAAGACTGCATGGTCGAGTGATCAGAAAATTAATAAATGGAATGAGATCATAACGGCGATCAATAGAAACCATCATTCATCACTTCTACCTTGTAAAACCATCGCCGGACGTTACTGAATAAGACAAAAATTACCCAAGATTAGGCCAGATTGGGAAGAGATTGGTTGCAGCTACACCGATATACATATGTGGTTGACACATTTGTTTTATAAGTTGAAAACATTTTGTAAGACATTTAATCGCGTTGATAAGAACGCGTTTTTTTTAATGTACGTTGTGCATGCTTATTCTGCGTGGGGAAGGAGAACCTGGCGTTGTATCATTATCTGGGGGTGTACGTTGTTTTTGACTTGCGTTATCCAAGCATATGGTAGGTAAGAAACGATTTTATCGGGCACTTTTCACGACGGCGACTCTGAGTTACACGAACAAGCAACAATAAGGCGCTGTCTTCAGATATGTTGATGGTCGGTTAGATCGCGCCTGTTTTGCCATAATCCTTATCAATCAATCAATGCATATGGATCTCTCACGCACTGTCACACGCCGAAAGCAAAAAAACGAGTAAAAAGCTTAGCGTGAACCGCAAAATTGTTTTTTCAGTGGCTATCATAATACTTAAATGGTTTCCATGTGTAATTTCCAACAGATCACATGAAGGCTTTGTGTCAAATGCTGAGATTCACAAGGCAATTCAGAATAAGGACCGTTTCAAAAGAGGATACACAAATGAAATTCTGAGCATGGCTTAAGGAATTCTACGAGTATATCACGAAGTTTTGAATTTGATTCTTTAAAATTTGTGAATCAGCATTATAACATTGAACCCTTCAAGCTAGAGACCCCTTGGCCCGTCGGAAGGCACATAACAATTATAATTACAGAACAATTGTAAAACAACCACTTGCACTTCCAGTTCAACCACCTCTATTTAGTATATGTTACGCATCTCCTAACTTTCACATTACAAGCCTTAAGGGGGTAGTACTTGTTTGTTGACAAACATGATTGTCTGTAAGTGGTTCATTTAGAGCTACAATGCAGGCTCAAATGTAGGAATCACAACGCTAGCAGTGAGCAACGCAAACCGGCTGTTTTCAGTACTTTGTCTTGTCTACTAATCTTGTAGAATTAAGTTTTTATGGTGGTTATATGACTAAACATTTCTCCTTGTGCTCGTGCGTCGGCTGCTGGCCCGGGGAAGATGGTGGAAATGCCAAGCGACTTTTGCCAAGCACGCGCTTGTTTTTGGGAAGGGTTTGCACTTTTTGTTTTCTTACGATCAGATCTCATCTTCACATGGACAATTTATTTGGCATATGGTACTAGTTGTCGCTGTCGCCAGCACTAAGTCGCTTAACGCAGTGTAGAAGCGCTATAATGAGTTCCTGTACGTCACGAGGATAATTTTTCAGTTTTTGGTAGCTGTCTCTCATTGTGCATTTGTGAATTTTCGAAAGAGGATTGGTACCATGGATGAGTATGGAGACTTCCAATGACGTTCTGTTCCTTCCGATCTTCGATACCTCGGCTAAGTGGCACTTACGCGGATCGCACTTCTAATGACCAGTACGTTCTGCTCCATTCAAATGCTCCAGTAATTTGCCCTAATATTTTTTCATACTCTTGTAACTTTCACAGTTCAGTGGCTATCGCCGTACCTGTTTGAGGTAAAGAAAGAGCAACTTCATGCCTAAGGGCAAAATATATGAACTTGCTTTTTAACTTAGTACACAACATGCCGTAGGTAGAAATCTTTATTAATATTTTTCTTTTTCAAAAAGTAGAAAACTAGCTGAAGTTCACTATTGATGCTTGTATCTACAAAGGATGCGTTAAAGCTGTGCTTTTAGGGTGCTGTGTCAAGCACTATCACTCTCTTCCTGCAAATAAATACAAATTCGGCATACAGTACTGTAAACTTGTCAAACTTTAGTAGTGCACTGAATGCAAACTAGGTAGCAAAAAAAGTGAACATATTACATGCTAAGAACAGACTCCCTTCAACACATCCGATATGCATGACCAGAAACGGAAATTACAACTTAACCGTGTCAAGTTTCACGTGGTGACCGTCTCTTCCTGTCCCATGTGACATCCTGTCACATGGCGCCCGTCTCTCCCGTCCCATCTTTCATTTGCGGAATACCAGCTAATCAGATGAGGTCGAACTTAACTGTACAAGGTATTGCACTTGACTTAAAAAGCCTTCTTGACCTGACAAAATGAGTACATTTTAACACTCCTACTCGACGTTGTCCTGAATGCCTTCAACTTGAACATCTCGCGTTAACGACAATCCGCGGTGCTGGTAGTGTTTTCTTGAAAAGGTCTGCAAACATGTGTCCAGACTCGACATAACTTGGCTTACCATCTTGGCTTAAGCGTAGTGGCAGATGAACTTGAAACGAAAGTTAACGTGATTCGCGCCTGAAGTACTCTTTTTGCTGTTTATTAACTTAATGGCAGCTTTGTTGTCCATCCACATCGGCATGGACTCACCTACCTTTATGTACAGCTCACCAAAAAGTTCCATCAGCCCTAATAGCTCAAGTCCTGCCTGCGACGCCGAGATGAATAAATACTCAGCTTCCATGGTGCTCACAGAGACGCTAGTCTTCTTCTTGCACGCCCACGACACCACTGCTCTATCCATCGTCAACACGCATCCTGAGACCAACTTGCGGTCCGACTTGTCTGCTGCAAAGTCCGCGTCACTCCAGCTCTCGATCTTGGTCAGGTCCATTGATTTTTTTAACTATTAATAAACAGCTTCAATGTCTTCGTTCCCTTAAGATACCATGCAATGCGCTAAAGCCATCTTCTATTCCTTCATGCTTGGTTTGTGTGTCTGCCTTGTCGCAAGATGTAACGCAAAGCTAATGTCCGGCCGTGTACAGCGCGCGATCAAAGTAGGCTCCCTAGTGACTGGAAAGCTTAAGCGCTCGCATGTCTAACTCCAGCTACCGTTACCAGTATGTCTGTAGCTTCAGGGTCTACTCTGTTGCAGTCATCGTCAATAGGAGCTCGAACACCATTCATCGACTCCAGTCCATTGTCCTTAAGCTACACGTCTATCATCACCTAATTGTCCAGCATGCATCCACAACTTTTATCTAACAAAACCCTTAGGCCCAGTAACTTGTCGATGACGTCGGTACACTTGATCTCAAAGGACATAATTCTCTTGAAAACTTCTCCACAGCTTTACTTGAAGTACCTGTGACCAAAAGGTAGTTGACGTACACCCTAACAACCGTTTTAGCCTTGTCGATCTTCTTTAGGTATAGACACATGTCCGTTGTACACTGGCTAAAACCGAATCTACCAACTTCGAGTGTATCTGTTGACTCCATAAACGTCCAGCTTGCCTCAACCCGCATAGGGACCTCTTTAAAGCAAAGCAAGGTGTTTTTGGTGCTTGACTCCGTGTTCATTTAAAGTATCTTGACTCACTTGCATCCCGCTTGGCACCTCCAAGTGAATGTCGAGATTTCTCCTTCCCTGCCTTGGCGTAGGAGTTTTAGACGTCCCCGTGGCGTGCTTGTACGTTTCATCGACACGACAGCACCAAAATGACCTTTGCAGTGCCAACCTCCATGACTGCAGCAACATCAGTGTGAAGTTGATCCCGAATAGCTTCTCGTTTTCGCATGCCACCAGTCTAGCCTTGTACCACTCCACACATCCATTGGCATCGGTCTTCGTCGTGAACACCCACTTGTTATGTAAGACGTGTGAAATTTAGGGCGGTACCACCACCGTCCACACTCCATTTCAATGAAAATCAGTCAGTACTTCGGTCATTACTATGTGTTTCTTGTCTTTGGATGGACTTCGCACAGCCTCACCATAGTTCCTTGAGTCTGACTTGTTCACAATGCTGGAAATGCCTTATTCTTCTTCATCCTTGATTCTATCATTTGACTCATCCGTTTTATTTGCTCATCGGTCTTGTCACATGTCGGTCACACGTCCGTCCGGATGAGCGACTCGTTGCTAAACGTTTGTCGTGATCGTCTTGGGATCCTTCTGACCTTTAGAAGTATCGTGTTCTTTAAGTGCTTTGATGTTTTGAATGGTGTTTAAGATCCCAATGTTCTTCACAAGTTGCGTGACCACGACGACACACTTCTTTAGCAATAAGACACGGTACCCCTTTGTCTCATCGTTCCTAATGGTGATGATCGCCGCCTTTTCACGCGCACCCAGAGATTTGAGGACTGTGTGCAAGTGAACTGTGCACGTTGAACCAAAAATCACTATGTCACTGAGGTTGGGCTTCATCATAGTGGGTGGCTCACTTATTAAGACCGCACCGTCATTCATCTTAGTCGGACTTCGATTAAATATGCAATCTGTGTACTTAGCAGTATCACCCCAAAACTTCTAAGGTGTCCGCTTGCAAATACCATGCTTCGCACCATGTTTATAATCGTGCGATGCATCCTTTGGCTTTGCCATTGCTGGCCTGGTTATCACGCTCGCTAATTTGACGAGTGACACCATTGCCTTTACTGAACACATCCCGGGGCTTGTATTCGCCTTTACTTTCCGTGCTTAAGACGTGGATTGAGCCGATAAATTATCGCTAGAAAATAGCAGACAGAAATGCTCTTAATTTATTGCGGCAACCTCTTTTGTTTTCGCCAAAAAAAAACCGGCAATAGATAGACCATTGATCGACGAAATTGATCCGGTATCTGTTCCCGATCTGATCGCGAGGTGTCATGGGACCTTAAAGATCAGAACAGATAAATCCTCCTATCACTTCGATTGGCGAATTGGTACCGCTGCTTTTGCGAGATTTTCGGTTCCTCGTCTAGTTGCCGTATGCACAGGCCAAGCAGGTAAGACGCTTGATATCTGTCAATTTGATAATAGAGGTAGGGTCGCGGGCCATTTTGACGATAGTGTCGTAGCACAGGTGGCCTAAACGCCTACGAAACTGCAGCAAGCCTTTATGTTGGACCTTAGTCTTATTCTTATCTTCATCACCATTAACAATCGTCATGACCTTTTTAAGTGGTTAGCCATAAACACTGAAATTGTTGTCAAAATGTCGTCGTAAATCTTCACAACCAACACATCGTCGATGCGATCGACAAATACGATTGGTGGACCACCAAAATATAGACCAAATACCCCTATATTCTCGATATTTAAGCTCGCATCCCTTCTTTTTCAACTTTCCGAAAGATTTGGTGCTACGCCTCAAATTGGAAGCGTTTTGAACATGGAGAATTTGGATGGTCCTAAAAATTTCAAGTTCTTTGACTCGGATTATTACACTGCCCTACTCTGTGATGCGAAGAGGTCCTCTATCAGACGCTGCGGTAAAACATTCATGATTGAAGTTAATAAAGTCCTCCAGCAAGCTCAAGTCATTGACCAAATGACGCCCTGTACCACTGTTCAGCACCCAGTTGGTGACTCCTTGGGTCTGATCTTAGTCCGCAGAATGGACTGTGAGGACGAAATGCGCATTTTAATTTTTCTTCGTTCTTTTAGTGTCGAATTTTTTGCGGTGTCCCGTGTTTCCATAGAGGTAGAATCTCCTTTGGCTTAAGTCTTCACGCCGTTTCCAGACTGGTCCAACTTTCTTGACATCCTTAACCTATTCGACTATGTTTACCGCATCACGACCGAACTACTTGACACGGACGTCTATCTCTGTCGATTGTGCGAACTATGCCTACTCTTCGGCTTGTCTCAAGATGTCGACCTTGTACAAGTCCAAACGGGAAAGCATCGTCGTGCACAACGTCGTGTCTGCGTTTTGGACAATATTGGCCAAAATGAGGTTGTCTGCGTCTCCTCAGGCATCGCTTATGTAGTGAGGTACATGAAATGTTCTGTCCAATTTTGATTCGAAGACTTGGCTGCAGTAAACAGCTTCATGCTCTGGGCAGGTGTTTTCTTGATGTTAAAAGTCTGGAGCAACCTTTGCATTGCATGCTCCAAGGTTTGACTCTCAGACCACCAAATTTTCACCAGACGGAGGTTATACTTCTGCGCCGTTACAGAAATGTGTTGACCAAGTACATCAACCTTGATGTCGTTAAGGGTAAACAAAACCACACACGCGCTCGGTGAAATTAACTTGACGTCCCAACTCCTTGTCCCGCTCTATAAAAGCACTAATTAGGCCATGGTAGAGTTCCATTCCATCGAATGGCTGTAACGCCAATTTGCGCTGACGACCGTCATGTACACCCATGGTTACTTGATATTTGTGGAAACACGTCGGACCAGGTGCACCCACTTCTGGGTTCAGCGACAGCAGTGCGTCCTTCACTTCGATGGCTGGTCCTGCATTCATCACGTAGTCACCACGGTCTTGGGCTGGTGTAACAACTATGTTTCTAGCAAAAGATGGTCGTCGGGCACCAAAGAAGGGGTCCGGCGAGACATTCAATGAGTGCTTGTGAGGAGGAGTACGCTCCGATACCTGGAGGTAAGTACCCTTCCCTGCTCCCAAAGCTGAACCAAAAATGTTCGACACTGAAGATTTCTTCCTTTGACGGTCAACTTGCTCAAACTTTGAGGATTTCATCCCGAACGTTCGTTCCGACAGATTACCGAGCATGTCGAGCATCTTGTCCAGTGCTGCGGCCGCGGGCACTGCCAAAGTTTCTAATAATGCGTGAGCAGTGGTCTTCTTTCGATCATCTCCCACCACAGCGGGTGTGGCCCCAAGAGCTGTACCGCCAACACGTTTTTTTAAGCTCATAACCTGTAAGACTGCATTAGTGCGATTGGTGCAAATTAGGTATTAATTTAAGAAGATGTATTGTGTATCAAGAACTCTTTCTTCAACACTACAATATGTATGACAAGAATCGAAAATAACAATTTGACCGTGTCAAGTCTCACGTGGTGACCGTCTCTCCCTGTCCCATGTGACATCCTGTCACATATCGTCCATCTCTCCCGTCTCATCTGTCATTTTACACATCATCAGCCAATCAGGTGGGGTCAAAATTAATTGTACTCGGTATTGCACTTAATCTGCATAGCCTTCTTGACCTGTCAGATCGAGTACATTCTAACAGAGTAAGTTCCAGTACCGAGTAAACCGACGCGGTCGGTCAGTTCGCCACTACGTTTACTACAAAAGACAATGAATGGGTACAGGTTGCAAATATGGTCTGTTCAGTTAGAGCCTTTGAGTTCGTAAAATCACAGCAGATATCCTTAATTTTTTAGGCTGCAGATAGCACTCTTCGCAATTTCAGTAAAAATAATAAAGCGTGTTTGTTAGTGTATTTTGCTTCGTTCTAATTTACATTCTGACCAATTAGAGGCTCTTCTTTGTGGGGGTTAGGGCTAGTTAAAAAAACGTGGGAGATGTATAACGAATCCTCTTTTTAACAATTTCATATTTATAATTTTCATGTTCGTTTCATACTATAGCTGTGCATCTTTGAAGCAGGAATAATAACGTTGCTTAAAAATAGACGATATCACGGCCTACGACTGCGGGCAGCTAGGTCGGCACGAAAATAAAGAGCGTTAATTTATTTGTGGAAGAGCCTGAAAGCAAGGCGTTCGAGAAGGAGCAGATGCATTTTACTAATTTTGAGCTGCTGCTCAAACACAAAGATTCTCTATTGACTCAGTATTTTGTACCTCGTCTTACGCAGGTTAAGAGTCTGCAAAAAAGGGCTGACGTCATGAGAAGTAATAGACGCCATTTCTACGCTCTCGACCAGAAATGTCTTCTTGATCCGGGAAGAGAGTTTTAAATCCATTTATTTACCGAATTCTGGCACCGTCGTCGGTAGCTACTTATTTCTACAGATGACAAATTTGTCTTACCACAAGTCCGCTGAAGTTGTGCAAATAATTCAGTAGCTCAGTCTTCCAATAAATAATACAAAGGAGACGAAAATAAGAGTGAATCTTTTGATCTCAGCAGCGATAGTAGTGACTCGGCAAAAAATGTTAATGAAGATCTATACGGTTGCGCGTTCGTGCACTCATGACAATCGATTTTACGCAAAAGGTTTAATTTATGCACAGCTACCGTGGCGAATTATTAAAACATTTAAACTGACAAGAATTGTCAATTTGGTCTCAATGTCACTTCCAAAACATGCTAAGTATCATGCCTGTACACATGGCCGATCGAGGTCAGGATGAAGAGTAACCGATGCAGATACAGTTGTGAATTTACATTAATGACCAAGGAGTTGTTGGTTGTTTCATCACGATAAACAAAACGCGTGTACACGAATAATAGGACTGCAGAACACAAGCCAAATTTAAAATATAGTACATGAAGAAAAAATATTTACGAAACGAGATGATGTACCTATTAGAACGATAGGTTGTTGCAGCTTGTGCATTGTAAATAGATAAAAAAAACGATCAAAACAAAAAAGTGCAAATGTCGTAGAAATTTCTTTTTAAAGTTGCGGCATTTGAGAAATTTCTAATTTGGTCTAATTAAGAAAAATCGCTGCTTAAATGTGTAAAATGCTGGTAACGGAACAATAAGGTAGTGACATGAGGTATCCCCCCCACTGGTGCCTCGGGCAATCACCTCCGTTCCAATCCAATGATTGCCGGTTGGATCCATCTTACAACCAACCCAAGGTCTTTAAATTTTGTGTAACACATTATTATCAGTACCTTTCGAAAATTCCGGTATCACTGAGCTCGGCCTCTCGTAAAAGCACAAATACCCCAACACCAAATAATTGGGGGCGTCGAACTGGCTGGCCCCCAGAAAAGTAGTAGCTCCAGTTGAAGATGTGTAGGCCCCACCGAAGAGGGCAGAGCTCGGTCGCTAGAAAAACTAATTGTGCCCACTGCACCTGCAAAAAGAATACAAGATAGCGGCGATGTAGTAATTCTTTAGATAAAGATAATGGCTATTTTTAAACTTACAATTCTCGTTTTACACTACCCACATCATTTATATATGGAGTCTTTATAGGCGATTAGCAATGAAAAAACAAATGCTTGACAAAAGGTTTCACAAATTATTGTCCAAACACATTTTTGCTGTCCTGACACCCCTCATATCAAAATTTATGACTCTTTAGCAGCAATTGCTCGAAAAGATTATGTTACATGTACTTATCCGGAATACGTTAAGAACATTTAACGTTAGACTACATGTGTTTATTTGTAGATCCACGAACTCAAATGCATACAATCGGCTATTTTTAGCCGTACATTGCGGTCAGCTTACAGATTTTGGATCGACAGTAGATGATAACACATAATCATGCAGTCACTTCAAATTCTGTCAATACTTATAGATAAATGGCGGCAATCCAAGCCTCTTCATTATTTATATAAAATACGTCTTGTCATCACTTTTCATTACGTTAAACATGTTCGAGCCGAGTTTCGCACTGACGTAGCTCAAGTGAATACACACGACTAATGCTAGCACCAATTCTCACGCATTTGCGCATTCAAAAATGCGGCGGTTCAAAATTTATCAGTACAGCAAATAAATGGAACCAAATTAAACTTCACTACAGCTTAAGTATGCGCTCGAAATTTTTTGACAAAATTTCATTCTCCACTCGCTTTTTTAATTTCTTGCCATAACAATGATTGGCTACACTATCGAAGGTGGCAATCTTTTAATCGCTACTGCAACAATGTGAGATGAAGTTGGCCGCATTTTGCTGTGTATGCACCGAAACGCTGAAGCCATAGATCTTGTATCATCAGTTTTCAACGTCGATTATGGTGAATGTGCATCGTCCTTCGCACAGCGATCTGAAATGCCAAGACAGGGTTTTATATCTCGTCGGTGAGGTGGATCACAGGATTAAAGAGTGTGTCGTTGATAATTCGGTGTATTGTCGAGGTCTGGGTCTGCCGATCGATTAAAAGAGAAAAAACAAAATTGCTCAGGTATTTAGAAAGGCTTCTGTGTTCGATTATTAGATTACAAACTATGCTATCGGGTATTTTTACAAAGAACTGTCAACCACAAAGCGCAAAATTTTGCCTCATTCACTTTCACACACAACGAATAAGACGAGTTAATACGTAATGTGTACACATTAAAGTATATTTAAAGCTGTTGAGCCACTAAAAAAAAGCCTTTCGTATTTTGGGTTGCACAAAGGCGTCGATATTCAATTTTGATTTTTAAATTTTTCATAGAACGAAGGAGACTAAGAAATGTTTACCGACACTTGTTACGCATTCAGTGCTTCTTAAAATTATAAAGTGCTGATTCAAAAAAATAAGCTTAAGAATTTTGAGTGTCGAAATTCAATGGAGATGCGTAAAAGGAAAGTTCAAATGGAGTAAAAAATTACGGCTAGTATGCAAATTAAAATCTACATCGGTCCTAGCATGGCTAAATGTAAATTTAGTGATTGGCCTACGATGCATCACCATGACACTTCAATTATTTGTTGTAACGCAATCTGATTTGCTTGTGTGTTCTCGATGCGCAAAAAAGACCCTTGTATAGAGAGCTTTACATGGCTGTGCGACAGTGGTTAACCGGGCCACATCGCCTTGATCAATCCAAGTGTTTGCAATTTTATTAACTGTCGCAAGTTGATAATTTAGGTATACTTATGCGCGCGCAGTAGGCACTTCAGCAACATATTTCAAGCAGCGGCTGCGGTTCTGTCGTCTATTTCATAGTTGTCTTGGCCTAAAAGGGCTGTATAATTTACGTCCTGAATATGTGCTACCCTCTATCACCTGACCATCTTCGTGATCTTGGACTTGTGATAGTACGTTGGCGGTTAATTGTTGAATTTATCAATGCACAGACTTGCACTGTCTCTCTATTAATCGCCACTACCTCACACAGCTTCTTCTTTTATAGTGCAGTAATGGATGCGGGTGACACAACGGATGTAAAGAATAGATAGTTCTGTTTTAATAGAAATGGGTCGTACTCTAAGAGGACCATAATAGCCCTTTAACTATGACTGTGTACCTAACGCTACACTTGTCGTAAAAAATAGCGTTTTTATTTACTGCGTATTTACCATCTATAAAGCTGACCGCAAATGACGACTTGCAACGATTGATTGTGTAATGTTTTATACTCTGATATACACGTAGGCATATGTCTTCTTCCACTTTTACAAGTTAACCTCGTCTCGTGGCGGTGGTACTGGTGCCGAAAACACCTTCTGTACGAGCCACACACACCAATTATGAATTTAAATTATTGGGACGTTAGATACAAGGATAAATAAAAGTAGGTGTCAGATAACTATCCTATTCATGATCAGCTTAGTTACGTTCCAAACGTCTCTCATAAACCGGTTTACCCTTCCTTTATTGGTGATGGCATACTCAAGATCTTAATTTTTCATGAACAGAAATGTAGTTTTTTCGCGCCAGCAATTTCTTATCCAAGTAGATTGTACATGAGCTTATGCTACATTACAGGTTACTATGCAAAGCGATTGTTTCTTATCTAGCGTCAAAAATATAATTCGAGAGCAATTTGTAACCTAATCTTTTTTGATACACTTCAATATTTAAAACCGACTCCTGTTTGTTAAGCAACTGTTAATGCCGACTTTGTTAATCTAATACCAAAAACAACTACCAGCATGTGTTAGTACGCCGCATTATGATACCAAAAACAACTACCAGCATGTATTAGTACGCCACATACTGGTGATATTTGTGACTTCGTTACCTTCGTCGAGCATGTTCCATGTGCCTAACGTAAATCGAACTTGAGCCGTTAGAAGTATTAGAATCATCCAAAAACGTAACGCGCAACTCTATCACCTCAATAATAATCTTACTTAAGGACTTGTGCCGATTTGACGTTATCAGGTAATAAATTGAACGGGGATGCCAATAAATAGAATTTTGTTACTTTGTGCACAGCTCTCTCCTGACTTCGCACTATGTGAAAGGGTTTTTTATGACAAACATTCCGCCCGTGGACGGCTTGATGTGCGAAACACGTTTCACTACTTTCTTGTATCCCGCCTCTTAAAAATTTGAGGTCATGCGCAATTCACGATTCATCAGTAGTTTTCAGCACTTAAATAATCTTTACTGCAATGACACTTGACCTTGAACTATAGACCATTGTTGTAACGCGGGACACCCTGAAGCTTGTACTGATGACAGTACAAGCTACTAATTCTGACCACAGAACAAGGCGGAGCCTCGGAACTTCACGTACACTCGTACGTGCAGAGGAAGACGCTAAGAAGAAGCGAGTACTTGGTTAAAGTAAAAAGTAGAGCTGTATTTATAGTAGTTAATGTCTGCAATAAATCACTATTTATCTTCATCTAAGTATGTCTAAATACAAATGTGTAAATCAGTTATCTGCTCACCACTCATTGCGTGCGTCAGTCGTGGCGCGTCTTCGTTGGTTGATGTAATGGCCTATATCAACCAATTAGGAACTACTCGTAAGTGCTGCAGAATATTTGTCCTTATGACAATATTCTGAGAATAAAAATCTTACCGTTATATTCTATTAACAGTTTCTTATAAGTTGTTATGTAACGGTTCACCCCGTTACACCAAGTAAATCGCCGGCCGTCCTTTCTTTACCGCGAGGTTCTGTAAGCGCAGAGTGACTTCGGCTCCCAGTCTTCAGTAACTAATTCACTGTCTTTAACTTGAAGTTCCTCCCCAGCCAGTTCAAGATTGCTGAACGTATCGTCTTCTGTTTCAAAGCCGCTGCTAAAGGCTTACTGTTCAATTTCAGTGATATCGCTTGCCAAACTTGTAGACGTTTTGCTTCACGTGCATAATTAAGATGATGGCCGTTCTTGTTAGCAGGGGACATTGAAGCGTTGTGATCGGTCGGAAATTGAAAAGCGTTGTCGACGCACGCGTATGCACACATGCATACTGCAGGCCTCATGTGTCAGCGTCATAAATTAATCGTATATTCGTATTACACCACACCCAATTAACAGAAACCTCAAACATCTAAACAAAATAAGCGAAGTTGCCAAAAGTACTTATTTGAGGTATCACAGTCAGGCAGAGTCATGTGATCGTTCACCTGCTAAAAATGAAAAATCCTCATTTTTGCTTACAGCTTTTTAGGGGAATAAGATGGCCACACTTTATAAGTGTTGCTGATTTTAAGTGACGTACACTGTAAGTAGAAGTGAATGGAGTTTGCCCGGCATACTTGGCGCAATTTACTAAGGAAAGAAAGTTTGCTATGGCAACGATAGTAGTAGGATGTATGGTAGCACACAGCATAGGTATTTGTGCTGCGCCATCAAGCTCGCGAAAATGCGCACCCGTTAAGATGCTGTAACGTTAAAAAGAACGCATCGGATATATCCGAAAGACCTTGTAGACGTCATTTTAACTGCAATTAATTCCCATCTTTACTGTGACGGGGTAGCCTGTTACAAAATATTGACCTTTAACGGTTTCAAAAGGAATTTTGTCCAGCGTGATAATTCCCTGACAATATTACCCGAGATATGTAAAGTTGAAGGATCATTATCCCCTTAGGATAGCATTCATGGGCTGCTCAAATATTTTGGTCGATACAAAAAATATTAACCAAGGTTACCACCAACCGCTGCTAGACGCGCGTAATGAGTAATGGGCAGATTGTCGTCATACGACATTGTAAATTAACATAGTTAGATAAAGACTGAAGTTACATTTATAGTTTAACGATGTTTAATACAGTTATCTCTTTACCCTTTACTCAAAGATCTGTTTGAGTAGATAAGCTTCCTCTGCACATACTAGTGTACGTGAGGTTTCGCGGCACCCTGACAAAGGGTGCCCCGTTTCACCTGGTAGCAATTCGTTGTCCGTCCAACGAATACTTGGTGTCCGTCCAGCATGAACATGTTAGACGTAGAAGACGACAGCTTTGACGTCACACGTGACGGCTACTCCCATCTGAGTGACTCAGAATGGGACACAGTCGGCCGCATGAGTGTGCTCATGGGCGGATCCTACATCAGTGGCACGTTGGAGACTCTAAGCAGAGATCAGCAACATGCTGCTATCAACAAGTTCCTACAAGAGGAACTTGCTGTCGAAAGACAGAAGATAGCCTTGCTTCACCAGCAAGGCTCCCATCAGTCGATGGGCGGGCCAACGCACACGCGTGGACCCGAAACCTTGGAGATTGATATCTCAAGTTGAAAGGGAATCGATGAATACACCCTTTTAAGATGGTTAGTCGACTTAGACGACGTCATCAAGTCTCGTCACATCGAGGGTGGCGAGGTGCAAGTCACCTTCGCCCTGTCAAATTTTACAGGACGAGCAAAGACTTGGTCCTTAGGGATCAATCTTCACGACTCAATCGTGTTTGCGTTGTTAGAGATCTTAAAGTCTCGGCTCAAAGAGACGTTTGAGCCGCCGAGAGCCGAGTCCAGAGCACGCTCTGCACTCTTGAGTCTAAAGCAAGGTAAGCGTGACGTGCACGCTCACTCACAACACCTACGCTACCTTGCGAGAAGATGTTCGCAAAACTCTGTTGATGAGCACACACTCATCAACGTGATCATCTGCGGTCTTGCAGACGGACAGGTGACGACCTACATGCTCCGAGAGGACTTCCATACGCTGGAAAAGGCGATAGAGTATGCGGAACAAGATGACTTTAGCCTGGGACAGTCTCAGGCTAACTCTTCAACTATCGTCTGACGAGACGACAGAAAAATCGGATTTCTAGAACCACCTCTGATATGTCGAGAGCTAGAACCCTCACTCTCCGAGCCACAAACGGTCATCAACGTGCTACCACTTTTAAAAGATCGAATACTACGATTTTGGGTGTAGTGTCCCAAGCACTGCATCACGTCTAAAGCCAGGACGCGATGACCGCCGTTGGCCGAGGAAAGGTCCAAGCGCGGGTTCGATTATGTCTTAAAACTGCGACAGCAAGTCGGACTTTCATAAAACGGACAGGGTCAGTAGGTGCGAAGAACCCTGGTGATCCAGCAACGTCAAGTGAGTTTGCAGGACTCTTGACGAAGATTGCTGCCAACATACAGTCACTGTGTGTTACTGCCCCTCGTAATGAGTATCTTTCATCACTTTAAAGATTGAAGTGACAAGTGGAATGTCACTTTGCGCCCTAGTTGACTGTGGGGCGTCGCACAGTTTCATTCGACGCCAGTCGCTTGAAGATAGTAGACTCAGCTATGTTGAGCGAGAGTTCCCTTCAACGAGATTGACGGTGTGCCGTACAACAGGCGCATCCGTGAGAGTGAGCAAACGTGTAGTGGGAATCCACTACACGCTAGAAGGAAAGCAATACGAAGATGACTTCATCGAACTGGATCTAAATGACAAATTTGATGTCATTCTAGGTCTGCCCTGGCTTAGAAAGTACCAGCAATGGATCAGCTTGCACCATCGATCCATGAAGATGCCTGCAATTTGTTTATCAGATGGCAATCTGATGGACGTCTTGGAGCGTCCACAAGAGTGTGGATGCACTACGATTGAGTGCGATAGCCTCACGTGTGGTACGGCCGTTAGTGTGACTGCACAAGATCACAGTGTAGAAGGCCACTGCACTGTGGAACCAGCTTCCGGCACCTGTGTAGACACACAGAATGTGCCGAAGATACACCACTTAAAAAGGTCAGCTGGATTGGAACATGGATGCACATCAAGCAGGGCGCATCCAAGCAGAGAGATGAGTGTTGTTCAGGATGAACAACTCGTTAAAGCGAGATCGATTAACAAAAAGTCGACGTAAAGCAAACACGATCGGCTAAAAGAGAGTCGATAGAAGAGGACGTGACTGTAGCAGTGCACCCAAAGTCAGAACACGTAGGGGAAGAAAGGTCCAGCGTTCCTGAGGGTGATAACGCACGAGAAAGTTATGTTGACGGTGTGTTTACCTAATTACCTGCGAATGCATTGTGACCAGGAAATCACCGAGAAAGTGAATGTATAGGTGAATGACGTATCAAGTGTAGGCGCTTATATACTTGATCTGGTGACGCCCCCGAAGTCAGCTTCGGAGGTAATCAAGTTGTTAACGCTAGAATCTAAAAGATTCTTGCGAGATCTGCGTATTGACAAGACCAAGCAGATCTGCGTGATCGTCACAGAGGACGAGTACGTCGCCGATATTCGGTCGGCACAAGTGTTTACGGAGAACGAACGGGTTCTCAGTAGCTCATCAATGGATATGAGTGTCGTCGATGAGATGACTCGGATTGAGCGATACAAGTCTCAACCTTGGGAGTCTTTAAAGACAAATCCTATGTATAAGGATTTGGTCAAATTCAAGGATGTTTTCCCTGAATTCGTGCCATGCAAATTGTCTAAGGACAAAGGCACTTGGCATGAGATTAAACTGAACCCCGGTTCGACATACTGTGTCATGAATTAGTGGCTATTGCCTCGTGAACAGGTAACAGCGATCGACAAATTCTTTGCCGATCGCTAAGCGGCTGGTCATGTGAGGGAATCAGTATCTCCACACAGCTCTTCGACCTTCTGTTTGCGAAAGGCCATAGGAGGGTGGCGGATAGTGCACGTGTTCAACAAATTGAACGCTGCAACGGTATCAGTTCCGACGCCTAAACCGAGGAAGGACGTCATCATAGATGGTGTGGCAAAAAGTATCATATTTATCCATGGATCTGATGGATAGATTCTATCAGATCCTCCTGCGTGAAGGGGAAATCCCGCACACAGCAGTGAGCACCCTCAGTGGTATGCTCTGGGAATGGCTAGTGATGCCACAGAGACTAAGTAACGCCTCTTCAACGTTCAACAGATGTGTTACGAATCTGTTGCGATAAACGCGAGATATTGCACCGAGTTACTTTGACGATTTCTTCGTCCAGAGCCGGGCTTGGATGGAAAGACGGACGTGTTGGTTCATAGAATTCACGTCCGGAAGGTACTTACACTTTTGCGTAAGCATAAGTTGTCCGCGAACCTCAAGAAGTGTACATCTTGCCTTCGAGCGAAATACCACTTCTTGGCTGCATTGTGGGTAAAAACGGCGTGCACCCTGATCCGGAAAAGATCAAGGCGATTAGCAACTGGCCTGTGTCAGTCGACGTCAAGGGACTTTGAAAGCTTCTTGGCTTAGCGGCGTACTTGCACAAGTACTCACGCAAATAAGCCGAGATGACCGTACATCTCTCTCGTCTGCTTAAGAATACGAGGGGTGGTCATGGAGTACTGAGTATCAGCACTCCTTCGAAGGTACCACGAAAAGCTTGACACTATCACGTGTGTAAACAATTACAGACCAGGACAGATCATTCCATGGGGTCTGTGACGCCAGCAATTTTGCAATCGGATGCGCGTAAATGCAGTACGACTCTGACAGCGTTGGGCACGTCGTCTGTTACCAATCGCTTTAGATTAAAGAAGCTGAGCGTAATTGCCCAGTTAATGATAAGAAACCCCTTGCCATGAAATATGCACTGGCTAAGTTTCGGGTACATCTCTTAACAGATAGGCCCTTCATTATTCGTGCCGACCACGCGTCATTACACACGGCCGTAAACAGTCCAAACCTCTCACAACGAATGGCGAGGTGGCTGCCTTTCTTCGCGACGTACAACTGCTCCCTCGAGTACAGATTAGGACAAATTAATGTCGTCGCTGATGCTCTTTCGCGTCAGCCCGAATTCGAGCCGCATACTCATCCCACCCGTACGGGTGATCCAACTTTTGCAAAACTATCAGTGAGTGTTCCGTCGTCGAATCTGCTCGATGGCACGCGGAAAGCATACGCAGAAGATGAGTCTCTTCTGCTATTAATGGATACGTATCTGATGCATGCCGTCAAGCTTGGAAAGCTTGAAGTCTCAATGCCGCTCTTCAACCGAACGTTATTCGGTTCGTGATGTACGGCTGTACTAGACAACAGTCAACGGCGACACACCTCGTGTTGTCGTTCCTGCTCATAATGATTTGCGATTGCGCATCATGTACGAGTATTACGATGCTCAACAAGTGAGCATCGCGGTGGAGAAAAAAGATTTACCTCATGGTGAGTCGTGACTTCCACTGGCCCCGCCAGTACGAGTTTGTGCGCAAGTACGTCCGTGATTGCGAGGTTTGTCAACATGTGATGCCTAGTCCTTCATCCCGTGTGCCCTTGCAGCCTCTACCGATTCCGGCAGAGTTTTGGAAGTCCGTATCGATGGACTTTGTCTTTGGGTTTCCCAAAGACTTTCACAAGAATACTGGCATTCTTGTGTTTGGTGATCGGTTCAGCAAGATGGTACGTCTTGTTGCTGTACCGGGGTCAATCACAGCCCAGGTCTGTGCTCGTGACTTCATCGATACCATCTTCCGACATCACGGGTTACCACGTGAACTCGTGTCTGACAGAGATTCCCGCCTCACAGCGGAGTTTTAGAAATCCGTGTTTTGTTCACTTAACTCACGTTTGAAGATGTCGACTCCCAACCATCCGAAAATAGATGGTCATATGGAACGTGCTAACCTCTTCCTCGAAGAGATGCTTTAAGGGTACATTCACTCGTTTGCGAATTGGAGTAAATTCTTTACGATGGCGGAATTTGCTACTATCAACTTGGTGCATGCATCAACAACGCATAAACCTTTCTTCGTGAATGGTCTTCGCTATTCACGTTACCCGTCTTTTTAGAGTGTGACTGTAGTTTCAGGGGGGGTGGACTCGCTCAAAAAATTCGATCCGGTTCTTGATCATCATACGTCGACAATGATGTCGACGGAATAAATGCTGATGTCGATCACATCGACATTGATGATGATGATGACGAAGATCTTGGTATTTTCAGCATCACCAGCGACTGCTGCAGTGAGGACAATGAAGCTTTAACAAATGAAGACAACTATCTTTCAGCAGTGCACCTTGTGCGCACTGCTGCTATCAAGGATGAGTCAGCAGAGGAATTTCTCCCAACTCGCGAAGCGGTTGTCTGCTTCAACAAATACTATACTGCAGATGCAATAGATAAGCAGAAAAGAAACACGGACAAACGTGGAAGAGCAAAAGATATTTCATTGAATGAAGGAGACCTAGTTTTACTGTCTACAGTAAACCTACCGAAACGCGCAGTGACAAACGTGGGCAGCTAGAAAATTACTGCCCAAGTACATCGGTCCGTATCGTGTGTTGAGCCGAATGGGCATCGCATACACGATTGAACTGCCCCGTTAGATGCGTACGCATCCTACATTTTACGTTGTTCGTCTCATCCCGTACTATCAGTACGAGCCCGATTCGAGATGCGAAGAATGACTCCACGGTCGAAAGCCGAGACCACCTTCTAGTGGTCCCGTTTCAACGAGCCAGTCTGGTCGACTAGCGAAGCGACCTGCTCACGCAGTTAAGCGATGTCTCGACGAGCTGCAGCCAGCTCTTTACAAAGAGAACGAGTCGAACGTTCGTTCTCAAGTTGCGCAAACGCAAGGCAGCACTTTCGTTCAAGCGATCGTGCGCTAAGGAATTGTGATTATCCTGCACGGGTTACGCTTCTCAAACCTGATGCGAGCTGCATCAAGTTTACCGAGCCAGGACTCCTGGCATATGCACTCGTTGCTATGGATTTAGGCATTCCATCTTTGCACCAAGGCATTACCATCTTGGCCACAGTTGCAATGGTACCACCGATGTTTAAGGAACACGTCGATGAAGAACTCTTCCTCAGCAAGGATAGTTTTGTACTGGAATCAGGAGGACAGATTCTCCTGCATTCAAACAACGGGATTTGATCCTGTTGGGTGGTAATACCGGCCACTCGATCTAACCTCTTAAATTACAACATCCAAGATTCTCCACTTAAGGAGCATAGCGCAAGACACTGCGGTCTCAGGCCTCTGGTATGGTGTCAGCATGAGCACTGACACCAGTAGAAGCTCAATCCCTCGAGTTGCTTCTCTTGTGGTGACGCATAGGTGCGTCACCACCATCACCACGCGTCCTAGTGTTAGGTAAACTTGCGTGAGATGAGGATTCGTCAAAGAATCGCTCGGTCCGAAGTTCTCGGACAAGATAGCGCCATGTTCCCCAGAGCCAGGTTGAAAGGTTGACTGGCTCTTTCAGCGTCCGCCCCGGTTGATCCGAAAGCAAAAGACGCCTCATTCGAGTTGAATGCATAATTTAACTCGCCAGAATAGATGAGCTCTATTTCAGGCTCATCTAAATTGCGATTCGCAGTATTCGCTGCAGACGCAGCGGATGTATCAGTCTTACGTGGTAGCTCACCACATCGACTAGTCCCAACAGGCACTACCTGTTGCTCAATCGCAGCAACAGGCGAATGACCACCTGCTGCTGAAGCCAGGGAAGTACTCTGGTCGGCTGCACGCGTGCACGCAACCGCCTTTCTGGCTGCGTCGGCACTGCACCGCAAAGACTTTGACACCATGCGATGAAATGGCGAACGAGTTGAAATTTGACCAACAAGTGCTCCCTTCCCAGAGTGATCCAATGGTGGTAACCCTGTCCCAATGAGTTTAATTTAGTCAAAGTATGATTGATAATTTAGGGGGGGTGATGTAACGGGGTAGCTCTTTACATGATATTGACACCAAACGGTGTCAAAAGGGATATTGCCTAGCGTGACAATTTCCTGCCACTATTACCCAAGATAAGAAAGAAGGAAAGAACGTCATCCCCTTGCATGATTAGATTCCTGCGCTGCGCAAATATAGTTTGGTGAAGACGTAACAACCAAAATTACCACCAATCGCCGCTAGACGCGCGTAATGAGTGGTGAGCAGGTTGTCGTCATACGACAATGTAGATTAGTGTAGCTAGATAAAGACTGAAGTTCTATTGATAGCTTAACGATACTGAATACAGTTCTCTTCTACCTATTACTCAGACTAGCTGTTTGAGTAGATTAGCTTCCTCTGCACGTACTAGTGTACGTGAAGTTTCGTGCCTCCCCAAACAAAGGGTGCCTCGTTACATTTTTAGCTTTTTAAAAATTTTGTACAATGTTCTACGTCTCAGAGAGTCTTTGTCAAATTGGGTTTTATTTTATTGGGTATCGGTATACTGCACAATTACTAGCCGGATGTTTTTTGCAAGCATTTCTTCGGCAGCAAATTTGCCTGCGATGCGATCGTTTTACTACGCTCCTCCTGATTGCCTACATGCTCTGTAGGGACGGTGATGATTGCATGCAGGACTGTGGCGAATACATTCGGGTGACGAAAGGGTTAGGATGCTTAGCCCGAGTTCAATTTTACTCTGTCAGCTTAGTATACATCAAGACGCTTGCGTAGTCAAATCAGAGAGAAAGGGTAGATTACAGTACCCCGGAAGCCCCGATTGCATTGATAGACCACCCGATAATGGCTCTAGGTTATTCGTACCACACAATTTCGATGACTGTATGTTTGGACAGCGCTGGATCCACTATTTATACATACTTAGGTTCATACGCTCGAGGATCATCTATTTATAGGCTTGAACACGTCCATTTTGAGCGGCTGGAGGATGCGTCGCGTTTGCTGGCACGGAGGTCATCAAAATGCAATGCTTACAGCAGATTATTGCCAATCCTAAAAGACAATAATCCTAAAAGTGATGACGAAGAATGAATATAATGTTAAATCGGATTTGCAAATCTTTTCAATATCTACAGTTAGAAAGTTATTCTGGTTGTAATGACTGGGCCTATAGCGGAATTACTGAGCGCTTCTTAACAGATGAATTCTTAGACTCAAATAGTGTCTTAGTTATAACAAACTAGCAACGGCGTACAGTCGTTTCTAGTTTGTGACAAGCTTAAAAATCCCGGTTCCTAAGAAATTACGATTCACAGAATAAAATAATAACCAGTAGCTACTAGCTATACAAGAGTAAACGTCTTTACAAGGCTAATGATCTTAACAACATACTAAGCATTTACAAAGCACTTGTGTCCAACTATTTAAAAGAAGAACTCAAATTCATTTATTCTTTTTAACTAGGGTAATGAAACCATAAATCCTTGTCTAAATGAATTCTACATTACGATCTGATGACAGAAGACTAGTCTTCATCGTTACCCAATAAGGTGCGGTACGACCGTAAGTACGTAGTACTTAGACTGTACCACCTAGATCCACCAATCTTACTGGGTGTGGACACAAAATACTACTGGTATAAATAAATGCGTGCAACCTCGTTACACCCTCATCAACCAACCTGTCGGCACCCTTGTGTCGACAATTCTTCGACTGCTCTTCGAGGTCTCAAAGCTCTGGTCCTACACCAGCGTGTTCACAACACATTTTAAAAGAACTGAGTCAAATCAGTCGTCCAACACCCTGTAAATATTCCTCGAAGAGGTATGGTGGACGTTGAGAGTGACACCGCCGCGTTGAGCATCTACGACCATCCTCCAGCTACGCCTCCGGCGCGTGACACTTCGCGCATCGCGCCTGTTCCATTTGTGGAACGCGAGGATGTACCTTCACCCCTTGCACAGCGTGCAGCCGTCGACCTGCGTTGGGTGTGTTGTATGATGCACTTGATAAAGATCAAGATCAAGATCTTCAGTCGGTTGATGACAGCAGGTGTCAAGCATAATGTGCATCCACTGAGCCACTGAGCGATCTCACAGTGTTTACCGCTTCCTACAACCGAGTGTGGATGAACGTATTCGTCAGACTGCCGGGCAGTCGTAACATGGATCACGGGACCCAAGGCTGTCACAGCCACAGCACTTGCGAGGAGGGAGTCTCTCATAGTGAGATACTTGGGGGTTGAACGTTTGACCGTTTTAGAGTACTTTGACAGCCTAAATTTGCAAGCACAGGTTTGCATCAGTGTCCGCCATGCGAAAAGTACGTGTCGTTATTTTCCCTGGTGAGACAGGGGTGGGAAATGAAGATGTCTTCACACATTGGGCTCACCGAGCTCGCCGTCTGACACGGCTGTTAAATCACCAAGAGAGCTATTCACTTTTCCACGTTCATCTCGAACAAAAGATGCGCTTTGCTTTTTTTAAGTAAAAGGCCAAAGGCCTACTCCGATCGTTATGTCGCTCCCGCTATGCTGCGGCAGCTACATACCCGCGCATCAGCGCCCCTGTCGCAGATGCAACCCTCCCCACTCCCGCACAGACTAGTGGGAAGCGGTATGGGTCGATTGAACCTGAGGACGACGTTTAAAACGTTTACGGCATACGAACAATTCTGCCGCAGTAGCACTTCGTACTTCCTTGAGTTCTCCGACTCCGGATACCCTCGCCACTGTACCAAGTACTGGTCCTGACCGTCGCGATGACGTCGCTGCAGGATTCGTTTAACACCTACTGTTGATACCCTTGCTTGTCAACGTAAGCAGGCGGTGGTGGGTGAATCTCGACGCGTCGTCGACGAGTTCGTGCACGAGGTGCACGGTCTGCGTGACCGCTTGGCGCGTCTTGAAGG